CACGGCGGGGTTGGGCTCCATGTTGGAGAAGGGCAGGGCGCGCCACTCGAAGGACACCAAGTCGCCAGTCGGCTCGATCCCCAGGCCGCCATGTTTGCTACGGGCACGGCGCCCGCGAGGGTAGGTGCAGCGAGCTGACCGGCGCTCCCTCCCCCTCTCCGTGTGAAGGGGCCGCGGATCGGGGCGCGGGGGTGAGAAAGGGGGGGCGTGGGTGCCCGCAGAAGAAGAAAACAGCTGCTCCAAGGGCGACGGGTGCCAGGAAAAAAGATGGCGCCGGAGAGGGCGGTGAGGAAGAGGAGGATGAAGGGCGGGCAAAGCAACAAAGGTGCGGCCGGTCCTGCCCCGTGGAGAGCCTTCCACCATCGCACCCTGCCCCTCAGCCACCATAAGAGGTGCAGAGAAGCCAGAGGGAGTGTCTCCAGCCTCTCTGTTCAAAAGCTGTTACCAGCCCTCTCGCCCAGGCCCTTTTTGTATCCCGCCGCCCAGCCCACCCGCCTCCTGCAGCAGTGAATCCCACGAGTTAACAATGCATCTGGTGAAGAGTCCCAGAGAAACGCGCCCCCGCAACACTGTGCCACCGGCGCCCTGTTGCGACTCGTCATAGCGGGATGAAGATTGCGCTGGTCAGTGGCAGAGAGCGCCTGCCTGTTGACGAGAGCTCCCAGCGTGGGAGAGGGAATAAACAGAATAAACTGCTGAACACGGGTTACAGCTTTCCACCATGAGGCTCATGCCAGAGTCATGGCAGCCCTTGAAAATGCAGAGCATGCGAATCGCTAAAGAGTATGCGAATCGCTAAAGAGCATGCAGCCGAGTTCAGGTCTGGTGTAAATGGGCAATAGATGATGCAATCGTTTCCGTGGGGGTCTTCCCATGGGTGCCACCAATGGCTTCACGATGCTGGCGGTCACATTCGGTTCTCCTGGGCCTGGAAAGCCCACAGAAGTGTACCTGTTTCTGCCGTAGTTTTACTGTCACAGGATTAACCTGAAAAGCCATCAATCAAAATGAAGTTTTAATCTTCCCTAGCATCTTTCAACTAAAAAGTCTAAAGTGTCTTATGCACGTTAGTGAATTACATTTTTCTAGCAACCATATCAAGTATAAGGAAGTATCACATCCATTTTAAAGACAGAAGCTGAGAGAGCAGATAAATAACTTGCCCCAACCTGCAGATCTGTGATGGCCTGTGCCTTATTTAAAATGGCTCCTCCATTCTTTTCTCTGGTTTATTCTGACCTCTTATTCTGGTTTATTCTTGACCTCTTGAAGGCTCAGATCAAGCATAGTAGCTTCTTAACCTGGCAGGGGAAATACTACGTATCTGTGTCCAGGAAGGCAGTTTTCCTGAACCGCTTCACAGGAGAATTGCTCTTCTGATGTGGTTCAGGACCCACCAAGGTGTGGCGGCTTTAAGCCCAGTTTATGGGTGTGGGTATCTCCTCCCTTGCTTGCTTCTGCGGCCTTACAACTGAGGGCAAGCAAAACTCGGGGGCATCCGAACCCCAAGGCTCCAGGCTTGGGCCTGCAAGTAGGATGCCTGCCAAAGGTTTTGGAAACATCTGAAGTCCCAGGTGCAGTTGGAGGATGGTTGCTGGTAGTATGCCACTTATGGTTCTGTGCTCTTGGATATAGAATTAGTTTTGGCTAATTTGGCCTCAGATACAAATTAAAAAAAAATTCTTACATTCATAAAACTTTGCTGTGCAGTCCTTTAATATATTCCATGTACATAAGCAGCCTAACTTCTGCCCCTGTAAGCCTGAGTCCTCACCACCTAATAAAGTATTAGAAACATAGTGCTTTAACATCACTGAGTGATGAATTCATGCAAACTTCTGAGATCCTTATGTTTGCTGTTAGTACATCTTACCCTCTGTATGAACTAAATAAGGGATGCTCAACTCTTGGCCTGCAGACCAGATCCAGCTTACAGAGCCATGCCATCTGGCCCACAGGAGTCCCCCCGGGTCTTAAAATTTGGCAGCAGGGGAGCAGTGGCAGCAATTGCCACTCCCCTACTGCCAAATGTCTGGGCCCATTGGGAGACCCACAGGCTGGATAACATGCTAGATCAGGGCACGCAGGGTCTGCTTGAGTCAATGCGGGGCAAAGAGAGTCCGTGCAGGCTCTGATCTTGTGGCATCAGCCAAGGAAGGTGATGCAGGGCCCCAGGGAGGCAGCATGAGGCCCAATCCAACTGGCAGCATAGGGCTGAGGGAAGCAGCATGGGGCTCCTGATTTGGCCCATTCACTTACAGTGTGCCCTGATACTTTTTCATGAAAAGGAGAGCCTGTATTCCATGAAACAATAATAATGTTAAGTTAAATTATGTTTTTCATCTTAATCTGCATAGAGCTTTACTGCTAATAGGAATAAAAATCCTGTTTTGCAACTGAGGAAACTGTGGCTGACCTCAGTAACCTCTGATTTATCTAAGTCATAAATGCAGTTTTCATCAGTGCAAAGGGTTGTACGTAGGGTTGCAAAGGACTGTTATGAAAGTATCTTTCCCACTCTCTTTTTATGTAAGTTTAGGAATTCTAAAACCATATAAAATCCAGACTGTAAAAATCTTTAGATTTTCAACAGGCAATTTGTAGCCATAGCCTTTGTGCCATTTTGCTATCCCAATTCCCTTTTCTGCTCCCTGTTAACACTTGATGTTTTAAACATTCATTTATAAAGCAATTCTAAAGGACTTGCAGCACAAGAGGAATAATGGGAGCAATACACTGTTTTTCTCACAGCAGGACTCCAGTCCCTTGTCTAGAGAAAATACTTGGTGTGTTCCGCCTCATAGTGTATTCATTCAGCAGCCAGACTGCCGTCTCATGAAACAGCGCTCTGCTCCTATTATTGCTGAACTCCTAGCATAGCACTCACTGTGAAATGCTTATTTCTCTAAACATCAGCATGTGTAGATGCTAAGGGGCGATAAGAATCTGTCCTTCAATGACTGAGATAAAAAAATAAATAAACATCCCTTTCAAATTCAACCACTCCGTTCAAATATGCAAAGCGGATGATGTTTCCAGGGTCCTTTTACCACAAATGTTGTGAATGTTTAGCACAAAGTAGTAGTCGTTTTGAACCTGGCAGTATACTCTGTTGAACAAATGCTATTGAACATCTGAACCTGATTGCAAATGACTGTTTCAGAAAAGTTCTTAACAATATTTAAGTAAAATGTTCATAATTAAAAATTAAAAGCCTGCAACCATGACTGGATTACCTTTTAATCAGCATGATTTCTAATATTAAGGAGTATTATATATCTCTTCATGTTTTCAACTCAGCTAACGAGGAGGCTATTGCTTGGCTTTGCAGATTTGCATTTGCTAAATAAATAAAAAATGGATTAGAACAAATGTATATAATGCTCTACAAGTGTGAACTAACATGCACACCCTGCCTTAATAAGAATTCCTAGCATTTATTTCAGTCTACATAGGTAAAGTGCTTTGAAAAACATTATTGAATTGATAGTTTAAAACAAAGTATCTGTCTCTGAGCTGAGAAAGTGAGATAAAACAGGAACTTGGAATATGAAAAACGGGGGAAATCAAACCAGCAATATTTTCAGCAATGTAGTTTGCAGTTAATGCAACAGTAACATACCTTCCCTGGTAATTTACTCACTGCCTGAACTACTACTTTCCTAAGGAAGAGAAGTTGCCAGATGGTAACAGATGATTGTCCTTTTCAAAAGGGTGGTGAATCTGCTTGTTTGTTGTGTTTTTTTATTTATTTTTCTGTCACTAGAAATCCAGTATCTCTGACCTGCTTGAGAGTTTGAACATAGAAATGTAGAGCAATCAGCATTTCTTCTGTCTGGTATGTGGTTCCACAGATGGCAGTGTCAGAACTGTACAGAAATGTCTGTATTTTAACATGTAACTACTGACCTGGAAGGGGAGTAAAAACAAGGATACTTTAGGAGGCTGGGGAGTTTCCTTTGGATTCATATTAACTGGCTGTTAATGGGTTGCATCAAAAAGTGGCTATAATTAGAACCCTTATATGCTTTCTGTGCTTTGCGTTTCACAAGACAGGACACCATTAGGTTTTCACTTAATGGAGCAAATTGGCATCAGGAAACAAAGAGGTGGAGAGGTAAAGACTGGGAGAAAGAGTAAGCATGGGATGAGGAGGCATAGGGAAGGCGATTAATGGAGAGGGTAAGGGAACACAAGGAAGCATGGATGGTGTGTACAGCACAATTCTACTCTGCTGTGCTAATTGCTTGCACAATGCACGACGTGGCTTCAAGTTCTAGGCACTACTGCAGTACAAATAGCAACATGTAATGAGTTCAACCTCACTGAAACCAATGGGTATAGCAAATGCTCTTCATTTGAAATAAATGACAGAAACAGTTGCATTTCATTATACATCCACATAGCTGAAATAATAGCGCTCTACACCCAAAACTGGCATATGCCTCCACCTGCAGCACATGCATGGAAGGAAAGAGGAAACACAAAGAGAAGCACAAGTAAGCTCCCTCTTGTTGTTTTTCACTGACAGCTACTGAAAAAGGCTTGCATGTGGAGCAAAGCTATTGTCTCTTGTACGATTCCTCCTGTGTCCAGGGAAATGGGATTCTATATGTTCTTTGTCAATAGAGGACTGCATCATAGTAACACCTGATTCCATCATCGGTTTCTACTCATAAATGGCACAATCCACAAGACCCCAAAGTTTTGGCCAGCCACCCGGGGTTGCCGAAGGAGTCTCAGTAACTGTTATGAATGGGAAGGGAAAGCCCGAAAGAGATGGCAGAAGTGTAGAATGGAAGAGAGCACAGGAAGAAGAAAAGGATAGAGACTGTATAGCTGAATTCCAAAGTCTTTATTTTCATAATATGTATGCATGTTGTTTATCACCTCCACATCTCTACCAGCACCCAGATAGTTATAGGAATTAGATAGAATAGATCAGCAGTGTCCCAGGACAATTTGGAGTTTTATCTCTTATGTCTGTCATCATTGCCTACCTCTGATTCAGTGATAAGTTGCCTGCACAGTGTGATTTTTATTTCTGTTCTCATTCTAAATCTCTCCCGTTTTAAATCTTTCCTGTTTGGCCTCAAGTCTTGTTGTTTCTTCTTCTTATT